TCAAGAATTTAGATGCAACGTCAATCGCCATCTTCTGTTGTCTTGAACCCCGTTCACCTTTTAACCTGTCCTTCATCCCGCCCACTCTATGTACCCTCCTGCGTACTGGTGGCACCCTCGCCTTACTTGGGGTGAGATGCTTAATATATATATATATATATATATATATATATATATATATATATATATGAGGTTCATCCTGTACAAAGCCCGATAGTCTGTCAAAGTAGAGTATTACAGAGAAATAGGCTTAGTTTATGCGAATATATGCAGAAGATAACGGTTACCACAAGACATGAATGGGTTAAGTTTGTAGTGAACGGGAAAACATCCTCTTGGGAGTCGGTTCCATAATGGAGTGGTTCACAGGAAGAAGCTGTTTTTTTTTTTTTTTAAATCTAGAATACGGAAGGAATGGGGGGTTGGTTCGCTACACTGTGCGCTGCATGGCTGGTCTTATATTTGCTCTAAATCAAAAGAACGTAGTGGAATATAATTGAGGCGAGATCATTTCTTTGGATAGAAAAATTATGCCGGCATCGTCGATGATGGCGAGATATAAAAAAAAAATTCTTCACAGGTGTAACTGTATATGACATGATATTTAATAAAATATGACGGAACTTGCAATATAATGGAAAATATGAACGATCGCATTAAATAGCGTTGAAGTCTAGAACTATTAATACTGTTAATAGATACGTTACCTGCACACACACACACGCGCGCATACACACGCGTAATGAGCTATAGAAACGTTATTAGCCTCATCAATTAACCAATCTTTCGGGATATATTGAATTTCTTTTGGCCGAACTGATAGATAGATAGATAGAAAGTCACAAGTCATCGTGACAAAGAGTGTGACCGTGTTGACCTTGTTCAGCTTTTTGATCATGCTAACACGCTTATCTATCAGAAACTGTAACTAAGGTCATAGTTGAATTATAAATCACAGGTGGGCTCTGTAGCTGTCGAACCAACACAAAATGCGCCTGAGCAAGCATCTGCAATAGGGATTAGTTAGCCGACTAGTAGACAGGTATTCTCGAATACGTGTGGCCAGTCATCAACATTAGATAGATAGATAGATAGATAGATAGATAGATAGATAGATAGATAGATAGATAGATAGATAGATAGATAGATTCGTTCAAGCTTTAAGCTATTATCAAACTAAATATATAGCAAATGTATTTGTGAATTATTTTAAATTGTTTTATATCCAGGTCTTATGGAAATAATTGGCTTTTCTACTTGGTGGAAAGAAATGGCTTCTGTAATTTCACGACGAGACATTATCATTCCATCTTTGAACGAGCAATTCCACTCTTTTTAGTGCTTTTCTAAGTATAAAGTTTTCAATGATCTATTCTAAGAATATTCTCTTTCATGTCTACTATCTGCTCTTGTACCTTTTTCAGTTGGCGGACTGTTTTTTTTTTTGTTTTTTTTTACTAGTTTGAACTTTTCGTTTGTAGGAATATCCCAATCTACTGCAACCGTAGAGACAGAATCTGCGTCTAAAGCAAGACTGCATGAGTCCATCTCTCCACAGGCTGGATTTTTAATTGTTTTTTCTCCTGTCAACCAAGGAAAGAGATCTCAGTCTGTCATTCTATTTAACCCATCGCTAGCGAAAAACGGGTCCATGCCTTTTCCAATAACATTAGTGCAAATGCGAAAGCAACGGAGCCGGTCAGAATTTGAACTCGGCACGCCTATTCTGCGCTGATAACCGCTACACTACCCTACATGTAGTTTATGCATAATCGAGAGACATGTCAATCCTACAATGTTCGCCCGCTTCGCGCCTGTTAAAAAATAAACGTTATCTCATTAGTCTAAAAATAAGAAAGTATAATTCCATTTTGACAAGCCAAGGTGACTACGTGTGAAGTGTGTCTTCGAATCATTCCCCAGTCAAAGACAATACGCATTTCTTGTATTTCAAGATAATTCGTTTCTTAACCAGAATTTTATTTCCAGTTTCTCTGCACCTTGCATTTTTTTTGTTTTCAGGTTACATCGCTATTCTTTTATTGTCTGATAAAATTCAGAATTAAATAAAACTAATTTTTTACAAAGTCGATATTTTTTTTTCTGGTTCAGTTTGTTCTCTTCGCTTGTATTTGTTTCTGATCCAACATCGTTATTTTATATTTTCGGACTGTAATTCCGTCTTAACGCATATTATCAGTAATAATCTTTTTAAAAATCGGTTATCTTTTCGGGGAATATTTCCTGAATCGAATTCCCAAAGTCTAATCTTTGGTTTAGATTTCCAAAACATCAAACCATAACCGATCTGGACTTTTTTTTTTTTTTTTTTTTTTTTTACAGTGAGGTTCACCCTGTACAAGACCCGGGAGCCACTCGAGGTAGGGGATTATAAAATAAGAGGCACAATTTATGCAGATATGTGTGGAAGATAACGGTTAACCCTAGACTTTAACGAGTTTGTAGTGAACGGGAAAATATCCTTTTGGGAGTCGGTTCCACAAAATAGCGGTCTGCGGGTAGAGGGTTCTTCGAGTGGAACTTGCTTCTCACTAATGGAATACGGAGGGAATGAGGGTGGTTCACTACGATGTGCCTAGAATGGTGGGTCCTAGCCGTGAAGGTTATAATTGGTGGAACTAAGGAATGTAGTTCGTCAGATATTTTCCATAGAAGTACCGGTAGAATTTGTGAGACGTTTGTGACATCTCGTCTGTGAGAGAGAGATTGGTGGGTAGAAAATAATTTGTCACCCACAAGGACCCAGAGACGCTTTTTAATTCTATCGAGACTGGAGAGTGAGGACAGGGAAACTCCTGTCTAAATTTGACAAGAGTACTCCATTTTCGGCCTTTTCTGACTCTTGTAAAGTTAGAGGATAACACGAGGAGTCAGGTTCTTACTGGAGCTGTACAAGGAACCGACCATTTTTCCTACGTCTTTAATGATGGATCGTATGTACAAGTTCCACTTGTGGTCTGGGTTGAGTTTGAGGCCCAATAGTCGCTCAAGGTACGGGCCTTCCCTGAAGGAAGATCTATTCATCGTGACTGGTGGTTGTTTAGGGTCCGATCGGCTATGATGGAATAACTCTATCTTTACAAGAATTGCATCAGTTCAAAACTGGAATAGTGTTGCCACATCTAGCTGGAACTGTCCAATTCTTACTATCCAGCCTTAACAGAGTTTTTTTTTTTACGCGGCATTGTTAGTGAATAATAATTTCTCACCTTACAGTCTCTTTCTCACAGACGAAAAGATACATGATTTAGGAAAGACAACATTCAGATATAACAGTTATCTCCCTTTAATTTTTTACCTTTGGATTTCTTCGGTGACGTCAACCATTCGACAAAGTGAAACGTCGATGTATCAGTTTTGGTGAAGCCAGTTTTTGGACAAATGACACTCACTGTTATGAAATAGAGTAAGTAATAATCGATGGAAGATATATTGAAAAACACATATTCGAAAACTTGATATCGCTTTAATGTTTCCGTCATTTTTATAACATACGTGAACAAGTATTAATATAACATTATATAACAATTAATATATAATAAATAGAGTATGATATAATTATATGAACACAAAGTGGGGGCTCAGTTTTCAATTGTTCTATTGCTACTTCTATGGACCAAAGGAAAATGAAAAGTCGAAATGGCTAAAAGAGTACTCTTGATTATTAAGGAGTATAGAACAATTCTCGGAATGGAGGCACGGTCGATTAATGGATATTGACTGGAATTCGAACTCAGTTCTCCGATTTCTCATTTCGAGCCATTATCCACTACACCACCTATACACCCAAGCAAATCTGGTATTCCCATCTAGATACTGGCCAGGCTCGACGTTGTTTAACTAAGTGATAGAACAAGAATCGGTGTTTCAACGTGATGTGGCCGTAAACCATACCGCCCCCAGCTACTTCCAAGCTTACAGAACCTTATATTCCCAAACGCTCACCCATCCAGATATTGACCAGGCTCGACGTTGCTTAACCAAGGATCAACAAGAATCGGTGTTTCAACGTGATATGGCTGGCCCCCAGCTAAAGAACCATATTCCCAAACGCTCACCCATCCAGGTATTGACCAGGCTCGACGTTGCTTAACTAAGATCAACAAGAATCGGTGTTTCAACGTGATATGGCCGTAAAACCATACCCCCCCAGCTACTTCCCACAGAACCTGATATTCCCAAACGCTCACCCATCCAGGTATTGACCAGGCTCGACGTTGCTTAACTAAGTGATCAACAAGAATCGGTGTTTCAACGTGATATGGCCGTAAACCATACCGCCCCCAGCTACTTCCAAGCTTACAGAACCTGATATTCCCAAACGCTCACCCATCCAGGTATTGACCAGGCTCGACGTTGCTTAACTAAGTGATCAACAAGAATCGGTGTTTCAACGTGATATGGCCGTAAACCATACCGCCCCCAGCTACTACTCCAAGCTTACAGAACCTGATATTCCCAAACGCTCACCCATCCAGGTATTGAGCAGGCTGACGTTGCTTAACCAAGGATCAACAAGAATCGGTGTTTCAACGATATGGCCGTAAACCATACCGCCCCCAGCTACTTCCAAGCTTACAGAACCTGATATTCCCAAACGCTCACCCATCCAGGTATTGACCAGGCTCGACGTTGCTTAACTTTCAACAAGAATCGGTGTTTCAACGTGATATGGCCGTAAACCATACCGCCCCCAGCTACTTCCAAGCTTACAGAACCTGATATTCCCAAACGCTCACCCATCCAGGTATTGACCAGGCTCGACGTTGCTTAACTAAGTGATCAACAAGAATCGGTGTTTCAACGTGATATGGCCGTACCATACCGCCCCAGCTACTTCCTTACAGAACCTGATATTCCCAAACGCTCACCCATCCAGGTATTGAGCAGGCTCGACGTTGCTTAACTAAGTGATCAACAAGAATCGGTGTTTCAACGTGATATGGCCGTAAACCATACCGCCCCCAGCTACTTCCAAGCTTACAGAACCTGATATTCCCAAACGCTCACCCATCCAGGTATTGACCAGGCACGACGTTGCTTAACTTCGGTGATCGGACGAGAACCAGTGTTTTAACGTGATAAGCCTGCAAATTCTAACAAAGCGACTGGAAAGTTTGAAAATCCTAATAAGAATTGAAGACAAAATAACAGATTAGCGAGTCCTGCAGTATGGATTAGACTTGCTATCAATTAATCTCCAGTGAAAACTACAAATTCCTCTCAGTAGTGTATCTTTATTTTTTATTCATAAGCACGATAAAACGTGTTATCTGAATACTATTTTGAACAGAGTAAATTAAACAGATTCATATTAAAAGACGTAGATAGAGTGACATACATTAATCGATTGATTTGTTATTTTTTTTTTTTTTTTTTTCGTTTTATCATCTCTGTGAATTATTTAAAGCCAAGACATTCTGGGTTATAAGAATAATCTTTTTTTTTTATCTGCGAGTGAATATTGTATTAACAATTATTTTAGAAAAGCAATGATTTTTTCATATACAAGTCCTACTCTTTAACCCATATCTGAGAGGTTCATATTGACTCATATTTTTCCGGAGTGTATTTCACGCAAGTGAATGTAACAAATCCGACTTGAATTCGAACTTGGGTCTCAGATTTCTCATTCTGAGCTGCTACCCATAACACCTGCGCACATCCACGAAATACAAACAGTTGGATTGCTTTATTTTACGATATATCAACCATTGTTGTGCTATTTAATGTGAAAATTAGTCTCTATTTTTATATTTGAGTCTATAAGCATTTACTTGGTTCGTTGATAGTTAAAGATTGATCGTTTATATCTGAGTCTATAAGCATTCGCATCGAGAAGAGGTCAATATTGATTGTTTATGTTTGAGCCGTAAACCGTTTACTTATTACCGAGCCGTCCTGGGTGATGATGAAACTACATCCGGAAGCAAGGCCTCTCACCGGAAGGTCTTAAGGAGCGTGGAACGACCTCTTAATTGCTGTTGTTTCTAGGTCCACCCTAAACCGGGGTTGTAGCGCCTGTTAGGGTCCCACTTATGGGCAAATAGTTAACCCCAGAACTGAGGTCAAAACACTATGAAAGTATATATATATATATATATATATATATATATATATATATATATATATATATATATATATATATATATATATATATATATATATATATATATATCGTATTTAAACAAAAAATATTATTATAATAAAGCTCTACTTCTGTATGGAGCACTGTCTTCTTAAAAATAAAAACAAAAATACTAAGGAACCCCGGATTATGCACCCAACGTGTTCTTTTTTCTATTTTCTGCATACCTACGCACTTATACACACACACACACACACACATATATATATATATATATATATATATATATATATATATATATATATATATATATATATATATATATATATATATATATATATAGTAAAAATGCCAGCAATACATTTTCATAGTAAAAAATTACCGGCAATGCATTTTTTTGTAAAAAATGACTAGCAATGCATTTTTGAAAAAGAAATTACCATTTTTAAAAAATAGTTTAGTAATGCTCCCAAGAAAACTAAATTTCAGCATTAAATGACCCATAAGGAGTTGATATGCCGCTAAACAATCTTGTTTCTGAGATTAGAAAAATATTGATCGTTTATATTGGTGTCCAAAAGTATTTATTACAATGGTAATTGTACTGATAAGCATTCATCTTTGGCACCTCGACTTTACTTTGGTTTGTTTTACGGCATATCAACATCAATTGGTTATTCCATGCCGACAAGATTTTTATTGCTGTTAATACATTTTTTTTTTTTTTTTGACAAATGTATTGCTGGAATTTTTCTTTTTTTTCTTAAATATACAGCTGGTGAGTTTTGTTTTTTTTTCAAAAATGTATTGCTGGTAATATTTTTTTTCAAAAATGTATTGCTGGTAATAGTTTTTTTTTCAAAATTGTATTGCTGGTAATATTTTTTTAAATGTACTGCTGGTAATATTTTTTTTTTCAAAAATGTATTGCTGGTAATTTTTTTTTTCCAAAATGCATTACTGGTAATATTTTTTTTTCAAAAATGTATTGCTGGTAAAAAAATTTCCCAAAAAGTACTGCTGGTAGTAAAACTTATTTTTATACATTGAGTGCTTTCACCTCCTTTGGGGTTTAACTATTTACCCATATCTGGGACACTGACAGGTGCTATCACCCCGGGTCAGGGTGTAACTGGGAACACCAGCAATTAAGTGGTGGTTCTACGCTCAAGACCTTTTGGTCAAAGGCCTTGCTGTTGAATGTAGTTTATCGTCTTACCCAGAACGCGGATGTAGTCCATCCGCCTTAGGGACTCCACTCCGGGTTTGAATTCTCCTAGACCAGTTGCCAACCCAGTCTATCCTGCTATTTACCCATAGCTGGAGTGAGAAGAGGAGGTTTCACACCTTTTCCAAGGGTAATAGCACGTAAGTGAATGTAATGGATTCGACTGGAATTCGAACTCGACTCTCCAAGGCGCTATCCATTACTCCACCGTGCCTCCTCCATACAATATTCCTTGATACAATATTCCTACGGTTATCCTAATGGTTATGTTCATCCCTATGTTTTTTATTGTTTTTTTTTTTGTTGTTGTTGGGTTTTTTTTGGGGGGGGACCAGAGGGATCTCCGGACTTTTCTTGGTCGATGTCGCATCTAGCAATTTTCTTTTAATATTATCGCGTTCGAAACACATTGAAGATCCCAGCGACAGAAATCACAAGAAAAAAAATACGTTCGTCCTTCAAATATTCGTGGAGAGCTATGATCGTCCATATGCAGAAGGGAATTTGCACCTTTTGACCCTAGAAGTGCTTCTTTTATTAAGAACCCCTATTTATAGCATATTGCCAAATTTCCGAAACCGCCAATTATTATTATCCTCTTTTGCATGTGGCACCTAAAAGTAATGGCCACTGTCAATTGCCTAAATCAAAAGACAGCAATTAAAATCTAAAGCATTTGCGATATGTTTATAGGAGTTCATGAATCAATACGTCAAATGTACATATGTTCAAATCTCAGAATCAGTCAACTTTACTAATTTGCACTTATTTAATTAACGAATAGATAAATAACATTAGCAGGTGCAACGGATAATTTCAACGCTGTCAGCTATTAATTAAAATTGCAATTTCACTAAAAATATGAAATGATGATAATTACAAAAAAATGAATGCAAAATTTCATAGTGTCTTGTTTAAGAAGGGGAAGGCGGACGTACGCAAAATTATAAATGTCAAATTTGTATATTTCGTTTATATCTGTTATCGGATTGTAATATTATGTTAGTAAGGTCTAATAAGAATACGAGACAATAATATTGCATACTTAAAATAATTATCCATTCGACTTTAGACTCCAACTTAATGTCGGCTTAACAGAAGGTATATGATTTCGGGTCTTTCTTTAAACGTTCGATCTTCTTCTTGTCACTTATCGTAGCTTCCTATGAACTGGTTATCTTCTCTGTGTGCGTGCGTGTGTTTGTGTGCGTGTGTGTGGCCTAAATTCAGCTGAGTGAACTTCTTTTCTTCTTAGTGATTTCACCCCAAGCAAGACAATAAAGCCACTAAGAAAAATGCGGTTACTAAGTCTGAGAGAATATCTTAAAAAGAAAACACTATTAAAAAGAAAGAATAATTAAAAAACAGGAATTAAGAAGATAAGATACATTTGAATTTTTTTAAAAATTGTGAAAAACAAATCAGTATAAAAAAAACAAAAAAAACGTAAGTTGCCTAAAATAAAATTATGTAAAACTTTTATTTTATTCAAATATCGTCAATCCAGGGAAAAATTATTAAAGATGTAAAAAAAAAACCTTCTTAAATCAAAACAGGAGACCGAAGGTTGGTCAGTTCCCATATTTTTGTTGGTGCACCCAACGACATCTTTTGAGGTTCGATTTTGCACTTTGTAGCTTTGTGGCTAGCTTCTAGGCTAACATTTCAATGTGTTTTAATGTTCTGATGTGACACACAGTAGACAGTTTAATTTCGTATCTCTCAGAATGAACCCGGGTCACACTGAGGTCACCACAGATGCACATTAAATTTGATTCAAATTTCTGCTCTTTCTTCTCATAAATCTCAAAATACAAAATTATTAAATACGTTCATAATATTTTTTTTAGATATGTACTCACAAATGTCACTTTCTCTCTTATAAATCATTTTCATTGTAGCCAACTGTTTGTTTTTTATCCTTTGCATGTGAATAGATGGATTATACGGTAATTTCTTTGTGATTTGGTTTGGTTTGGCTTGGTTTGGCTTGGTTTGGTTTGGTTTGGTTTGGCTTGGTTCGGTTTGGTTTGGTTTGGTTTGGTTTGGTTTGGTTCGGTTTGGTTTGGCTTGGTTCGGTTTGGTTTGGCTTGGTTCGGTTTGGTTTGGTTTGATTTGGTTTGGTTCGGTTTGGTTTGGCTTGGTTCGGTTTGGTTTGGTTTGGTTTGGTTCGGTTTGGTTTGATTTGTTTAACGGCATGTCAAGTTCTTTAGGGTCATTTAATGATATGAGTTAAATTAATGATATAAATGTAGCCAATATTGCAACCTTATCATTAAATTACAGGCAAACCTCTCATCAACGGAATAATAGGGGGAAGGGGGGTCCGTTAAAGCCGATTGTCCGTAGATGGGAAGGGATTATTTTTTAGTTATAAAATCACTATAGTAACTACCAGTAGTCATGATCATAATGTAAATACCATAAACATGTATATATGGCATAAATAAATCTATACTTAATAGAGATATATTAATCAAAATAACAAAAACAATATATTTCTCACAGCTACTTCCTTACGTACGCACTAATGTATCGTACTTTCCGTCTTTGTTTACGAGTGAAAGGCCCGCCACCGCCGCCAAGCGTTCACTTTGAGAACTAATACGACTCGTCCCGCTAAGCCCGCAAATTTTGAAATACATCGCTGACGAGATTTTTTGGCAGATTTTTTTTATTTTGCCTGCAGATTTTGTCCATTGCATCCGAAATTCGTTGATGGTGGGGATCCGTAGATGAGAGATTTGTCTGTATACCTATATC